TTGGGCTGTCAGTCTAGATTTGAAGATGTCATTATGTGATGATGTTGTATTGGCCACAGCAGACTCATTAAAAGGTAAGGATCCTCCATTTTGTATCCCTTGTGATGAAAGAATCAGTCAGGCATGTCCTGTCAAAACAGTCAATAACCTTTTTAATGATGTTAATTCTCATTTAATGTTATGCTTTTTAAAAGAAATCGAACTCATTAATAAATTTTGATGTACTTAATGTATTATTGTATAAATTGGTAGTGCTAAGTAATTACTCAGATTGTAAGTGGCTGTACCCTCGAGGGGGGTTGAAGTAACGTAAAATTATTGTCCAACTAAGAGGGTATGTAAGTCCCACATCATTCAAAGTATTTTTAAATGTAGTATTTGCAGCATTTTAATATTAGGCTAAACTGGTATACTATGGCCAGTGATGGAGGGATGATATAAATCCTGCCGGGGTCGATGCAGGAAGCAGGAGTAATTAAGTCCCCATGGTCCCTAGTCTGGTGATCTCCATTTAGTTACTGACAATCTCTAGCCCATTTTTAGATTGTGTTGTTAAATTATTCTTTCTGCTTTTAAATATTCTCAACTAGTTTTAAATTGAATCTGTGATATTCTAGTTATTGTACTGTCCATCGTTGACAGCTTTTTATTTAGTCTAAATATATCTATTAATGTATAACGATATGGCTGAAATACTGCCGATGTGACGTTAAATATTAACTCACTGAAGAATGTTTCTTGCCAAATTAGGTTGATTCTTTGATACAATGTGATAAAAAATTAGGTCTTGCTAGGCTTTTAGCCATATATCCATATTTTGACAGTTCATACCTGCATCCAGACATTTGATGCATTGTGACATGGACAAAACAATGCTAATGTGCCTTCATCATCCCCAGTGTTTTAATGACCCCAGGGACAGTGATGATTTCCTCTTGACTGTCACTTTCACTAACCTTTACAACATGGACTTGCAGCATTTTTATTGGCATCACCGTAACAAGACCGACACAAGCAACTGACAGAACTAAGATGGATGTCTTTACCATTTACTGAAAAGAACGACCAAAACAGATCTTTCGTTTGAATGAAAGAGTTGACTCTTTCATGATAATTAGATTCACCAACTTTCCAAGTTGCACGTGACTTGACAAAGGCCACACGGAATACAATCTAACATTTCTTAGATTTGTTATTTGGAGAGGGGCAATTATCATTGTTTTCAAGATTTTCCTTTTTGAAAATGTATCTTTAGTGGTAGTGGTCAAATCTTTGATCAGTAGGTTTGGTTTCAGCAAGACTGGTTTCTTGGAGCAGGATGCATCCAATTTTGGCAAAGAGAAAACACTCAGAGGAGCTCAATTACTGTCAAAAATACGATAACAGAACAAAATATCAGGGTGGCACATTTCTTAACTGCATTATAAATCCGAGTATACCCAGAAAGAAGCATTTGATAAAGGTGGCACAAAATTTGAAGATGGTAACAGTATTCCAAAGGCTTCTAATCGCTGTAAACATTCGTCAAACAAATCAAAAGGGGTAAAGTGTCCTTCCCTAATATGAACAAGATGACTCATACAAGTACAAGTACTGAAAACAGAAAATATAATCACTGATGCAAAGAACTATGTCATGCTCAAGCCAAAAAGCAAGAAGTATGTACAACTCTAAACAGTTTTAACAAACACGTTAAGCAGACAACATTTTTTACCAATCAGAGTGCGAGATGTTGTTATGGGATCAAAACAGATATCAACTTCTGGTTTACAAACGTTTACTATCTAATTGAAAGAAATAATCTATTACATTTAGAAATATGTATCTATCAGTAGCTAATAGGGAAATATCTGGAAAATGTAATTACCGTTAGCACGATCAATGTTATTGTTACTGTCTGAGATAAAAGGAACCAGTGTTTAGAAGAGACAAACCCAACATGCTGCTTTTAACCCCCTGGGTCAGAAATCCTGCCATACAGATTGTTTAATGACCATGAGTAAAAACAATTAGTGTTACAATCCCAGTGTCAACAGTGGATCAGTTTATCGAATTGTATGTTGTTTGTGTTAGAATTATTTATATTATGGGGGCTAAATATGGAGTCTGGCTGTTCCCATCTGTTGCCATTTTGGAGGTGTCAATAATTGGCTAAAACTGCCAATATATTGCTTACTCTGCCTCTTTCATAACCTCGTCATGTGCCCTGGTGACCAATGAGTGGTAAGAATAGTAAAGTGAGTCCACCCAAAATTTGAGATAGATGGTACCCACATTTTTACTGGAGAGTATGTCTGTTTGGAGGGAAATATTGTGTAGCCACGTGACTACATCTGACGTCCATTTACCCATCACAGCCTTGAATTAACTAACATGCAGTCTACAGCAGTTGGAAAATGAATAAAGATGCATTATTATCCACCTAACAACCATTTAATGAGGTAGGTGAATGACACATGTAAAGCATTTTAAGAGTGAATGAAACTTTGCAAGCTTATCTTAGAGATACTTGTCAAAATTGAGTTTGAAAATTGGTGCCGTAAATTAATTTTTCTAGAGTTATGGCCCTTGCTCCATGCTTTTCAACTTACTGTGTAGTGTCTGCAATGGGGACAACTTTTCTCAGAAACTAATGACGCTACATGAATGAAGCTTTGCATGCTTATCTTTGAGATACTTGTCAAAACTCTATTCAAAAATTATTTTTCCAGAGTTACGTCCCTTGCTACATGTTTTTCAGATTTTGAGCATACACAGTTACCACCCTTGATCCATGTTATTTTACAAAGTGCATAATGTCTGCAATGGGGATCAGTTTCCTCAGAAACTACTGAAGCTAGCTTATCTAAGAGATGCTTAAATCAAGAGTGAGTTTGAGAATTGGTGTCATAAGTCATTTTTTCCAGAGATAGGGGCCGTTAGTGTGTACCAATTTCACATTAATTTCTTTTTTTCTGATGACAAAGTGACCCTAGTGCCTATCTCTTTTTAAGACATTTTTGACTCTTTATTTTATAGTGTATATTCACTACTATATGAACAAAGTTCTAATGTGCCCAGTGGCGGGGGATAGTGATAACTGTTTTCATTTGGTTTATCTTTTTTATTTGGAACTAAAAACTATCTCATTATTTCCCTCCAAACAAAATGTAAATATACTCAACAACAAAAGTTCCTGTGACACCAATATTTTAGTGTATTTTCAACCAAGCAAAGTTTGGTTTTCAATATTGTAGTACATGTATGGAATCAAGTTACAAAAATGCAACTGCTACAAAAAAGCATGCATTCCATGCAAAAGTTTACTTTTATGCAAGCCCCATGCATTTCACTACCCAAGAATGGGTATAAAAACGTGCATCAACAGGATTCCAGATGCAGAAATATCAATGGACAGCGCTACCGCGACGAGATCATCGGCCCTGTTGTTCTACCGTCTTTGCGTCTTCATGGCCCAGGCATTACCTTTCAACATGACAACGCCCGGCCTCTTATTGCTCGACTTGTTAAGGATTCTCTTCACCAAAACAACGTGAATGTCATCCCCTGGCCGGCTCGCTCCCCTGATCTCTCACCAATCGAGCACATGTGGGATGAGATGGATCGGCGCCTCGACGTCAACCACATGTTCCACAGACACTCCAGGAACTTCGAAACATGCTCCAGCAGATATGGACAGATATCCCACAGGACTTTGTGTGAAGCCTGGTCCATTCCATGAGACGAAGATGTGTTGCTTGCATCGCAACAGAGGGTGGACACACACACTATGGATTTGTAAATTGATTTTTTGGCATGTTTATGTTTTTAATGAAATCATATATTTTCCGAAGTCAGTATGGCAAATTAAACCATTTAAACACTTACAGGAGTCTTTTATCTGTTGCAAAACGAAATTGTTTCAGATTTGGTAAAAAACCTAACTTTGCATTAAATCTTATTCAATGTCACAGGAACTTTTGTTGTTCAGTATAGTACTATTTCAGATTGTTTTAAGCACCTTCCACATACAATTTCAGACTGCACTGAGGAATTCATTGAGACTCAATCAAGTGTTAATGCTAAAGAGAACACTTCAGCTTCTACAAGACTAACAACACCATAAAGTTCCTGATGGGCAGGACACCTCATGGTTGCATGAGTTTATCTCTTGGCATGGGGTGGGAGGGCTTTTGGTAAACTTATCACACAGGACTCCGATATTTTTCAGGAGCTTAGTGAGGGAGGTTATGGTTGACAGGGGGTTTGATATTGAAACTGGGTTTGATATTGAAACTGAAGTCAAAGAATTGGGAGCTGAAGTTGTAATTCCAGCATTTATAGGTTTTGAGTGCATCTGAAGTGCATAGATCTCTTCATATTGCTCAATCAAATATCCATATTGAGAGATTTATTGGTTGTGTTAAGGAATTTCATGCATTTAACTGAGATTGAGTATGCACAACAGTGGAACAGATTTTGTGTACATGTATGTGCTTCCTTTCAAACTCGATGATCAAGACTGAACTATGATTGTTTATTATTCATGTGATCTGTGTTGCAGCATGTTTCAGTGAAATAGGAATATATAGCCTCGCGTAACATTGATTCTTGGATGTAAGGAAAGTTCACTCAAATTCATGATTTAAATGTCAGATTTCATTTTGAATACCCACTGATCATTTAATTCATCTATTCAACGCCAATAAAATTATAAAGATTCCACTTGTGACTGAAAAGTTTGTTTACTGAAGCCATTTGCATTCATCATCCATTCATGTGCACACAAAATGTGACTTCACCTTGATTTCGTGGATTACATAGTAGATTATTGTATCGCTATGTACCATATCCAAATTCCGGTAGTGTGTAATAATAATTTTTTTCTCTACCTACCAACATTTATGTGTCGGTAGATAAAGGATAGTTATTCAATACACTATTTCGAGAACTCCCAAACAATCTTGTTAATAAAGTACATGTATGTATGCTATTTTCAGGTAATTTGTGTTCTCTTTCAGTTCCTACTTTTCCGATGGTTTGCATGGCAGATCATTGCAAGGGCAATAAAATGTGTCATGTGTCTGAAGCATGCACACTGGACAAAAATACTGTAAGTGTACCTAGTGGTTACAGTTATGATACATGAACTGCCCCCACTGTATGATAAACAGTGATGTGCATTGGACCAGTTCAGTTGGCAGAAAGTGATGACACATGCAACATGTTTCATCATTGGATATTAGCAAATCGTCACTGTCACTTTTGTAAAATAGATTAACAGCACTGGATGGTCCCGCTGCTAGCTTGGTGGTACTTTTAGGTTTCTTTTGAGATGTTTTAGCTGATGTTTGTGACTTTGCTGGTCGTTTCTTGGTTGGACTGTTTAGAAGTTGAACTTTTAACATAGGTTTTAACTTGAATTTCAATCTCTGGTTCAATTATGGCTTTGCTGCTAACAATCTTGTGGATAGATCTGCGTGGTTTTCTTTGTTTCTTCACAATGATTGGAAGCTGGTCAACAAAGAATTGGGTTTGGTCAAAGTTAGTGTCAAGATTTTCCTTCTCAACATTAGAGTTGGATCGTGGGCTGTGTTCGTGTTCAGTAGCTGGTACTTGCTTGTCTTCTCTGTGTGATCCGTGGATAAATGCATCTGGTTTGAAATAGAGTTATCAATCATATCTGACGAAAAGGGATTTTTGGTCTGACATGGGACTAGTTGATTCCTTTCTCATCTACGTTATAAATTGCTTCTGGTCTTGAATGGAAACCGTATTTGTCCATAATCATGGCAAGTTCATCAAATTACTTGTTTATACATTCCACTAGCTTTGGCACGTTGGTCTTGCTCCCTGACTTGCGGTTTCTTACTTTTGACGGCATTGGTACAAGCCAACCATATGCGGCTTCGAACATGGATGGCGTGTGAAATGGGTGTAGAACATCCCGGGACGTTCTGGGACACGTCAGTGTCGTAGGGGCGATGTTTCGCAAGCGTTTCCTTACTTTTGATGGCGTCGGTACAACCAAACCATTTGGGGATTCGAACATGGTTCAGGTTCATGGAAACAGGTTCAGCACTTTGTCTAAGCAATGCAACAATAACCCAGAGTCCTGGCGAAGTCAGAACACTAATCCGTTTGACTGTAGCTCAATGGACAAGGGAGCTACACTCTTTTTTCTCCCGGACTATTTGATATCCTGCCACAAATTGCAATACATCAGACCTCTGAACACTTGTATCTCGGAAACTACTGGTCCGATTTCGACCAAATTATGTGTGTGTATGTAGAGTTGGATCGTCTAGATTGTTATTATAATCATATTATCATATTGTAATTGTTCGATTTATTATTAGGGCTCTATGCCCTGGGACACCCCTGCACACTCCAATTACGTAGCAGCGTCTTACTTTTGATGGCATTGGTACAAAGAAACCATTTGAGGATTCGAATATGAACAAGGCAGGGGTTGAAAAATACCATTGCCCGACGCCCGTGCCAAGTAAGGTTTAGATGTCGGTTTAGATTTAGAAGTAGAGCACACAAAATGAACTGGGTCAAGTTTCACGCAAATGTAATCATGTTGTCATGTTACGGTATTTGATTGGCTTATATTTTGTTAGTGTCCCAGACTGACAATGTAATTTGCATACAGCTACGACAGTCAACCAATGGGATTAATACATTTCGATGTCAGGCAGGTCAACGAGAACCAGGCTTGTTTCATTGTTAAATCGTAGTAACACTTCCATATATGGCACATGCTTCTTGGAAATGGAATGACAGACAGTTGACATTTCTTGGAAATTGTAACACGAGGTTGAAACATTTTCCGACTTTAGAAGCTTCATTAGGCCTAGCTTTGATGAAATATAATTTACAACAAATGTGACTTTTAACGAGTGAAAGTATTGCATTTATTTAATATATGTTTCTTTTCGTTGTCAACTAAAGTTCATTTCCAGGCGTCAATAGCGATAACCTGACCGTGGTTGCTGTAAATAACGGCGAGTTGTACGATCTATCGACCCCTTTACGCATGGTTTCGCCAAAATTGATCTAAACTGTATTGAATGAAATTTTGAATAAAATTAATAAAATATGCGACAAAGATATGTCAAGGTACACAACAAACATGTTTTTTTTTTATAACCAGATAGTGTAATAATAGGATTTAATTGCGGAATTTGTTGATTGGTATTTCCGGTGTTGCGTGCAGGTGGTAATGTTTTTGCGATGGGAAAATGACATTGTGTCAGTGACTTGAGTTTACTAAAAGTGTATATAAGTTTTGGGAACCATGTGTTAGCGCACACAATAACCGAGTTAGCGCTATATTGAAGAGTGCAATAGTGAGGGATCACTAAGTAAACCTGCAGTCTTTTGTTTCAAATGAGTAAGCTAGTAAAGGAAAGAGTAGCCTCCTTTTGCCTCATTAGCACCCAGAGGGGTATCTGCAATAACAATTTTTTATTGCCAGTACCGCACATGGCTGATCATGTCTCAGCGGTCTATTTTAAATTTCTTTGGCGGTGGGGACGAACTTAAAAGGAAGGCAGAGGGAAATTCTGAAAGTTGTATATCGGCCAAGAATAAGAAGTATGACGAATGTAAACGAAAACGAACATTCATCACTGGGTGGAAAGACCAGTTTCCTTGGGTTGCGTATGATGACAGCCAAAGTCATGAAGTGCTCCATTTGTTCCAAGTACCCAAACATACACACTCGCAATCGTAAGAGAACTTTTATTCATGGATGATCAAATTTCAGAATTGAGTATTTGAAAAGTCACGATACATCAGATGTACATTTGGAGGGTATGTCATATGAGAGAGACGCTCAAAGTCGAAGTACAGCAAGTACCAGCGGCAGCTGCAATGTGACCACGCCCTTGTCTGGGCCCACATGTAGCACTGACAATGTGAGTCCTATTGTGAAAGCCTTACAAAACAGTGACAAACAGACAATGCAGAAGTTGGAAAAATTATTCATTACTGCATTCCATGTTGCTTACCGGGGGAAACCGCTCAGTGATTTTGAGTTTAATTTGGACCTACTTGACTGTGTTGGTGTTGACATTGGGAACAAGTATAGGAACATTGCAGGTGCAGGCGAGTTTATCAAAGCCATTGCATGTTCTCTCCAGAAGGAATTTTATTCCCGAACTGAAGAAAGCCAGATTTGTGACAATTTTAAGTGATAGAAGTTTGGAACAAGAAACTGTCTTTATGAGATATGTAAGCTATGGCCAACCAGTATCCTTCCATGCAGGAACAGTACCTCTGAACAATGTCATGCTGATGGTGTGCTTGGTGGAATTAGAAAAGCTGTTGAATCAGTTGACATTTGTTTTGATGATCTGTTGAGTACTACAGAAGCAAGTGGTCCTACTTTAGTATCCGTGAATTTTGATGGTGCTTCAGTCATGCTTGGCAGCAAAGGTGGTGTAGCAGCAAAAATATGCAAACAAGCAAAACATGTTGTACCAGTGCATTACGTAGCACATAAGCTTGAACTGGCCGTATTGGATGCTGTCAAACATCTTCCTAGTCTGTCAAATTTTGAAGATGTCTTGAAACAAGTTTTCAAGTTCTACCATTATAGTACAAAAATGAGAAGGGAACTCAAGTTGGTGTCTGACATATTCAATACTGATCTTGCCAATCTGTCTGATGTGAAACCGGTGAGATGGCTTGCGAGCAAAATCCGAGCTGTTAGAGCACTGAAGATAAGCTTTCACTCAAAACTCAATCACTTTGAAAGTGTGGCCGCTGTCAGGGATGGCTGAGGAAAATGCAGACAGTTTCATTTGTGAAGACTATGTGCATCCTTTTGTGATATCCTTAAGCTTCCTATCCTCACAGAGGTATCTCTTGTCTTCCAGAAGGTAGGCCTTCTCATTATTGAAGTCCCTTCAGCAATTGAAGGTCTTGTCATGAAGCTCCTTAACTGTAAAATTGATCCTGTTGGAGCAGGGGAGAGTATGGAATACTTTTAAAAAATGTACAACCATGAGAAATCCTCTTTTGATGGTGTGAAGCTAAATGGTGTCATCTTTAAAGATGATACATTCCTCATATCACTTGTTGATGGCATCATCACCTACTTAGATAAGAGATTTTCATGCTTCAAACAGAAGCCTCTCAAGCACTTCTCTGTGTTTGACTTCACAGAATGGCCAACTCAAAGAGAGCCCCTGTCTGTGTATGGTAGCACCGACCTGTCTGAGCTGATGGAACATTTCTCTGCACTGTTCTCAGGAGAGGAAAGAAAACAAATGTCAAAAGAATTTATTGACCTAAAAGGGCACCTGAAAGGCTGCACCAGACCAGTTCTTGATACATACCAGCGGCTGCTTGAAAATACACCTGACAAGTTCTTACATATCTGTAAACTTGTTGAACTCATGCTTGTGGTTAGTCCAGGAACGTGTATTTGTGAGAGAATGTTTTCAAGCATGAACCTAGTTAAAACTCACCACAGAACAGCTCTAAACCAAAAGACACTTTGTCATACACTGACAATTATGACACATGGTTCAAAGAAACTTTCCGATTTTGATCCAAGACCTGCCATTATGGAATGGCTTCACAACACACCAAGATCAAGGCATATCTTGTCTTTAGTGAAAGAGGCTAAACCTGAGCCTGTACCAATGCTTGGTCCATGCAGCAGCAAATGTGTTGATTAGACTGTCACTGACTGTGTACATGAGATGTAGAGTAAACATGGTAAATAAATGAGACAAAAGGGTTAGTTTTAATCTTTTATTACAGAAATCCAAGGAGGACAGGTGTATCTCTTATTCTCAGTTCTGCAGCAGTAACATTTTACTGAATTTATTAGTTTGATTTTGGGCTAGTACATTTTAAAATAGGGCAAGTGAGAATGTTGGTCATACTTGCCCTTGGTCAAGTAACATTTTTAATAATTTTTCAACCCCTGACAAGGACTGGAATGGGTTCAGAAGACCAAAGAATGCTCTGGCTCCCGCCAATTTTGTCAAAAGGGTCTAAGGACATATTAAGTAATAAATTACACTATAGGATACTCATGTGCACTGCATTTATAAAGTGGATTCAAGTTGACTGGAACTAAATGACTTATTGGCATGAGATGTATTTTGCCCTGTTACTCGGAAACTGCTAGTCCGATTACTTTCACACACTACATGTGCCTGCTTTAGGTGCTTGACATCTTTTGTTCTTTAACTTTGGCCATTGGCCACGTGCTTTGGCAGCCATATTGGATTCAGGGTTTTCATAGTGTGTTTTGGATACACAGGTCTTCAAAAGCATACGACTCTGAATCCACCACATGAAATGCTACCAAACTTTCTGAGATTTGTCTCCGTACATAACACATCAAACATTGATGTATTTGATGGGATAGTAATTAGTTTGGGCCATATTTAATTTTGATTTTGATACCCCCCGGTGTACCATCAACTCATCAAAGACCCCAATCAGCCATAATCCCGTTGTTTATATTACTGGCATCATCCTTTGTTTATGCCACTGACTTCATCGACGATTGTCATCACTACCCTTGTGTGTACATAACAGGCTTCACTACTCCAGTATAACAATATCTACTCTTCTGTATAAACATTGCCTCCTACTTCTATAGATACTTGTCAACCACACTCTGTATATCACTTGCTTGATAACGGTGTTAGAACCTACACCGAAACATCACTCTTAATTGTAATAAAGAAGTTGTTCATCCATAAATTCTTATCCTTACTTAGTACTCCAACTTCTAAATGCCTATCAAAGAAGTCTGTGAAATATCAAATTATTAAATTACATTATACAATACTCTTATTCACTGTATTATAAAGTGGATTCAAGTAGGCTAAAACTGAATGACTCAGTGCTTCTAAAAATCATAGAGCCTGACATCGCTGCCCGTAGCTATATCTATTATTTATTATTATTCTGGCGTTTTTTGTTCCAATCATAACTCAAGAAGTACAGCTCAGAATCTCTTCAAAATTGGCACCAAGATTCCCAATGTCCTGAAGCAGATACCTAAAAAATCCCAAGGCCGTAGGCCCAAAGACCAAGGGCAGATAACCAAAAAACAAATAATTTTTTTTAAGATGTATGGTGCCCTATTCCTCCCCAACCGCTTGTCCGATTACTTTCAAAACTGTCATGTGTCTGCTGCTTTAGGTGCTTGACATTTTTTGTTCTTTAACTTTGGCCTTTGGTCACGTGGTTTGGCAGCCATATTGAATTCAATGTTTTCACGTTTTTTTTCAGGTAAATGTCTTCAAAAGCATATGACTCTGAATCCACCACATGAAATGCTTCCAAACTTTCTGAGAATTGTCTCCATACACAACAAATCAAAACTTAAATAGCTGTTTTTTTATATCTTTTTTAGTTGAGGTCATATTGGATTTTGATTTTGATCATTTTTTTCACAGACATTTTACTTTAAAGATCATATCTTGTTAGGTTCTTCACAGAAACAACTGAGACTTTACATTAAGTTACTTAGTCATATGAACCTCATTTTTTGTGCTTGGCTGTATGCTAAAAGTAACAATGCTTGGTTGTAATATTTAAAAACAGATTTGAGTGCAAATGCTGAATGAAGCACTCGTAAATCTAGGTAGTTAGGATTATCTCCCTTTGACTGTCGACTACCCTTGAAGATGAGGGTTAGAATTGGTCTTTAGCAACCCATGCTTGTCTTGAGAGGCGATTATCGGGATTGGGTGGTCAGGCTCCCTGACTTGCGGTTTCTTACTTTTGATGGCATTGGTACAAGCCAACCATATGCGGCTTCGAACATGGACGGCGTGTGAAATGGGTGTAGAACATCCCGGGACGTTCTGGGACACGTCAGTGTCGTAGGGGCGATGTTTCGCAAGCGTTTCCTTACTTTTGATGGCGTCGGTACAACCAAACCATTTGGGGATTCGAACATGGTTCAGGTTCATGGAAACAGGTTCAGCACTTTGTCTAAGCAATGCAACAATAACCCGGAGTCCTGGCGAAGTCAGAACACTAATCCGTTTGACTGTAGCTCAATGGACAAGGGAGCTACACTCTTTTTTCTCCCAGACTATTTGACATCCTGCCACAAACTGCAATACATCAGACCTCTGAACACTTGTATCTCAGAAACTACTGGTCCGATTTCGACCAAATTATGTGTATCTTGTAAGGTTCTTTAAAGAAACTATTGAAAGTTTGCATGAAGTTAGTTTCACATATGTACCTCGTTTTTTGTTCTTGGTAGCATGCTAAAAGTAACACCGCTTAGTGGTAATATTTGATTTCAAAATTCTGAGAATGAAGTTCTAGGTAAGATTATCTCCCTCAGAACGCTAATCCATTTGAGTGTAGCTCAATGGACATGGGAGCTACGCTTATTTTTCTCCCAGACTATTTGACCCCAGCCACGAAATTGCCATACAGCAGACCTCTGAACACTTGTATCTCGGAAACTACTGGTCCGATTTCGACCACATTTTGTGTGTGTATGCAGAGTGGGATCGTCTAGATTATTATTGTAATTATATTGTCCATTTGTGTCATAGAGTAACAGTTTAAAACAATAAGCCACTCCCCGCGATTTCCACTTAAGCATAATAACTGCTCCCTTAGCAGGGATTTCTGGGAACCTCCGGCTGTCTGCTTCCGCCATGTATACTGAGTCTAATTAAAAACTTCACATTTTTAAAAGTAATCCCATATATGATATACAACGGACAAATGTATCAGAGAAGGTAATCTTTAATCATTAATGTCCAAAGAAGGATTTTAATAACGGTGGTAACCATAATTTGTTCCAAGCACCTACGGTATTCGGTAATAACATCAACAGTTTAAATCATAAGTCCCAAGCAAGAGAATCAGATGGCACACAGGTTCAGTAGCGTGTATGGCCACCATGTGCGTTGACAACTGCCACACAACGCCTCCGCATGGACCTTGTGATGCTTATGAACACATGATTGGGAAGACGACGCCATTGTTGCTGCAAAATGGTGCCAAGATCTTGCAAATTCTGTGGTTGGTTCTGGAGAGTGCGCAGACTTCTGCCAAGAGCATCCCAGATGTGTTCGATGGGATTGAGGTCGGGAGACCTTGACGGCCAGTCCATGATGTTGACTCCCGCATTCTGAAGGAAATTCCATGTCAAAATTGCTGTGTGGGGTCTGGCATTATCGTGTTGGAAGATCAAACCGGGTCCATGTGCTGCCATAAAAGGCAGATGTTCTGGTGCCAGTACCTTGTCGCAGTAAGCAGCAGCGTTGAGGTTGCCACGGATGACAAGAAGCCTGGAACGTGCATTGCCACAGAAAGCACCCCACACCATGACACTTCCGACTTGAAATCTGTCAACTTCCTGTACACAACTCTGGGCGTAACGTTCATGACGGCGCCTCCACACCCTCGCGGGCGGTCGGGTAGCCTAGTGGTTAAAGCGTTCGCTCATCACGCCGAAGACCTGGGTTGATTCCCGACATGGGTACAATGTGTGAAGCCCATTTCTGGTGACCCCCGCCGTGATATTGCTGGAATACTGCTAAAAGCGGCATAAAACCATACTCACTCCACACCCTCGCCCTACCATCAGCAAATCGAAGATTAAATCGGGATTCATCACTGAAGACGACTTGATTCCAATTCCTCTGGGTCCATCGTAAGTGTCGCTGTGCCCACAATTGACGTTGACGTCTGTGTAATTGAGTCAGAATTGGCCCGCAGTATGGCCGTTGTGCTTGAAGGTGAGCAGTTCTCAGACTGTTTGCGCACTCAGTCTACCCCTAAACAGTTCATTTCTGGTTGATGTAGCCGTCAAAAATCGGTTACGGAGGTGACGTAAGACAATCTGACGATCCTCTGCATGTGATGTCACACGTGGTCGACCTGGCCTAGAGCGATCAGTGGTGGTACCAGTTTGCTGTAGACATGTCTGTAAATCATAAACAGTCCGTCGACTACAACCCATCGTCCTTGCAACTTCAGCTACAGACGTTCCCGTCTGCAACATGCCGATGGCACGTTCACGTTGCACATTTGAAAGGCGTGGCATGACAAATGGCCGTAAAGACTTTTGTTTTCTTGTGTTTTTCTTTTTTTGCTAATGACTGCTAACAAGTGGCTGAAAACGTGCTGTATTATGGCCACGTGAACAGTTGCACGTGAAAAAACACTTTTGCCACAATAGTGCTGTGCACAGGATTTTGATCGATTCACCTGCACAAAAACGGGTGTTATCTGAAGACAATTCGTGGCCATTACTGTTTAAATACACAATAAGGGCCCACAGTGATAACTGGTCAAAATGTTAAAATTTTGGCTATTTTGGCTGTTCTATCTTTTGACGGCTTTGGTAAAAGTAAACCATGTTAGGATTTAAACATGGTTGAGGTCAGAAATGTGCTCAGAATACCCTGGGATGCTCCAAAACATGCCAATGTCGTAGCAGTGATATGTCACAACCAGTGCTAAATCTTTGATGACGTAGGTACAAGCAAACCATTTGAGGATTTGAAAATGGTCGAGGTCTGAAATGGGTTTAGAACATCCTGGGACACTCCTACACACCCCATTTCAGTACGGTGGTATGCTGCAAGCAATTCCTTAATTTTTATGGTATTGGTACAAGCAAACCATTTCAGGATTCGAATATGAAAGAGCACAGAAATAAGTTATGAACACCCAAGGATGCTCCGGCACCCACCAATTTCGCCAAAACGGACCAATGAAATATAAAAATTATTAATTACATTATAATTATCATCATCATCATAACAAAACATCTAACAGTTGTCCCTCATAGTAGCAGTGACAGAATTTCTATGATTATATTGCTTTTTATTTGCAAATTAACCAAAAAAGATTTTGATTATTGCAAATGTTTTCTTTCCAGATTGAAGATATAAATTAATTTGAGTCAAGACTTCACAGGCAGCAATTAGACAAGATGGGCATTTTGCTGGGGAAAACTATGGACGAGAATCTCAAGAAGCAGCAGGAGTTTATGTTGAAAACATCAGTGATTCAGGTGATGTCAGTGTTGAAAATATCAAGATATAGCATATGTATGTGTTGAAATCATCATTGATTCAGGTGATGTCAGTAGTCATTGCTGATCCAGGGGCATGGTGCTGTCTACTATATTTTATCCTTGTCATGGACCGATCTCATTCAAATGTAATCTTTTATACCAATACAATACCTCTGCGTTAAGATCTGAGGACACCTTCATGGTAGGTCGTTGTCGGGTGAACTTTCCAAATAACCAAATTTTTTAACTTATCCTGCATTACTCCTTAAAGGGGAAGTGTACACGAAAAAAATCACTTTCTTTCTTATTTTAAACAAAACACAATTTTAGAATTAGTTAGTATCAGTGTTTGAAAATATACACTCATTTTTCTCACCTTGAAAGTAGGAAGCTCACAGTCAATGTGAAAATGTTATGCCGTTTTGAGGCCTGCCTTTCCGAGCTTAACAGGCCTGAGTTATCCCCCTTAGATTATGCCGTAATTGGTGCCAATTTGACTGGGTCCCTATCTTGTCACAACGCAAAAGATATCAAGTACCAGTTTATTGTGAGACAACATGGCATCCGATACATTGCCTGGTCCGAAGAAGTTCCCTTGACCCTTCAAGAAATCGCAAAACCATATGCTTTTGAACCAAAACGAGCAAGCTTCGCGGTATGGAAACGATGAAAATCAAGTGGAAAATATAGTTGCAAGCAACGATGCGGGCTCCAAAAGATATCAAATATAATTGCTGTTGCTTGTTTACATTCATGGAAGTGCATTTCACATTATCTCACTTTGGTTATACAGAGAACTAAACCAATGAAAATGAGTTTTTAATGGCTCAAGGTGATTACTTTTAAGACAATTATCCCAGTTGACTCATAAGTCACTTCCGGTATCGGGAAGGATATATGCACTACTGTACACTCTTATACATATCATCTATCCTGAGTGCCCATTGAAGCAATTAGTATTTAGGTGGTTATGGATCATGTGTTCACAGTTTGTATTAACCGAGAAAGGCGATGGGGTCAAACGCAAACAAAAGACCTGATGAACAATGCAGTTTACTGAATGCATTGACTGGTACAAGTAGGTCAATCACCGCGATATAGCGTTACTGCTGTCTGGCTATAGTGTTACAGTGGCTGGCTGGTCCTTGTCAGTGCCGGGTGAAGCAGGGTTGGGGTGGTTATACACAATATGTTCAAAGTTTATTTGTCCATGGGGCCATACCATCGATGCACCTTCGGACATAGCCAAATCAGCATGTTGACATATTGTATGAACATGCTTTCTATAGATAAGTATGTCTCTCTGCCGCTAGTGAAATTGGTAAAGCACCAGTTCACCAGGGAATAGGACACAGAATCACAGAACAGACGTCACGTTGTCATGTATTATGTAAAGAAATAAATATGCCTTTTTGAGATGATAGCATTTTCAAACAACAAACAGGGTTTGTTTGTAAATTTTACTATACAGTCATGATGAGCAAACAAAGCCACATATATAAGTTCAGGCACTGTTTATATATTATATTTTGTCATGGAATAAGAATGGAGGATTTTGCAAATATTATATGTAACATTGCTATCAAATGCAAATAAATGTATTGAAAAGTACATTTCAAACCCGCGTCATTGGATTTTTGTTTGTTGGTTGTTTATATATACTGAACAACAAAAGTTTCCGTGACATTGAATAAGATTTAATGCAAAGTTATGTTTTTTACCAAATCTGAAACAATTTTGGTTTGCAACAGGTAAAAGACTCCTGTAAGTATTCAAATGGTTTAATTTTCCATACTGACTTCGGAAAATGCGTGATTTCATAAAAAAAACATGAACATGCCAAAATGTCAATTTACAAATCAATAGCATGTGTGTCCACCTCTGGGTGTGATGCAAGCAACACATCTTCATCTCATGGAATGGACCGGGCATCGCACATAGTCCTGTGGGATATCTGTCCATATCTGCTCGAGCATGTTTTGAAGTTCCTGGAGTGTCTGTGGAACACGTGGTTGACGTCGAAGTCGCCGATCGATCTTATCCCACATGTACTCGATTGGTGAAGGATCAGGGGAGCGAGCTGGCCAGGGGATAACATTCACCACTGAAAGTGTGCTTGACGGTGGTTTCCTGTCCAAATGGAAGGTCTGGCGGGTCTTCTGGCGACAATCCCTGCACATCTGAGGCAACGATGTACGGTTTGTGAAGATATTCATCAAAGGCCAGGGATGCTTCTTGCAGTCACTGTTGCTGGCTGGAATCGATTTCGTAGATGTGTTGTTCGAATCCAGTTGTCTTGTTGATTATTGGTTAAGCGTGGCCTGCCACCCCGAGGATGGTCTCTGACTGCATTCTTTTGTTGCCAGCGTTGCCATAAACACCAAATGGTGTTTCTGTGGATGTTAAATTGTCTTGCAACATCACATTGACTCGATCCTGATTCAAGCATAACAATGGCTCGCAGACGCTCATTTTCGGACAGGCATGGCATTTCGTAATGTTGGGTAATTTTGTTATTTTTCTGAGTGGTTGTTGTCAGGACGATGCTAAACAATGCATCTGGAATCCCGTTAACGCACATGTTTTTATACCCATTCTTTGGTAGTGAAATGCATGGGGCTTGCATAAAAGTAAACTTTTGCATGGAATGGATGCTTTTCTGTAGCAGTTGCGTTTTTGTGACTTGATTCCATACATGTACTACAATATTGAAAACCAAACTTTGCTTGTTTGAAAATACACTAAAATATTGGTGTCACAGGAACTTTTGTTGTTGCGTATATTTACATTTTGTTTGGAGGGAAATAATGAGATAGTTTTTAGTTCCAAATAAAAAAGATAAATCAAATGAAAACAGTTATCACTATCCCCCGCCACTGGGCACATTAGAACTTTGTTCATATAGTAGTGAATATACACAACATTGAAAAACAAACTTTACTTGTTTGAAAAATACACTAAAATATTGCTGTCACAGGAACGTTTGTTGTTGAGTATATATACTTTGTTGTGATTTTATGCATATATTGAAAATGGCGGGGCTATTGATGACTTTGTCTTCTCGTTAAACTCAAGGTCCACACTGTCTCGAAAATATTGACAGCTATTACTATCTTGACCTTATTATGTTCACTACTTGTAAAGCCAAAGCTAACATATTAAAGCATATACTATCTTACAAAACTGAATCATCCAAGGGGCCACAAATAAACTTAAAAGGTAATACAGCTTTTGGACCTAATCAGCTTATCACTAAATACTTCATTCAGAATTAGATGCTGCAATCATTATAAAATGGGATGGACATTGTTTTAGTTTTAGAAAGGATCTCTATGAGATTCATAAACACATCCGACATTGGTGATCTGTGTATTGTTGAAATGGGTAAACTATTTATACATGGAAATACTGCATTAGATCCAGCCGAAAACATTAATGCTGTCTCTCTGGTTCTGTTATGCGTTTTACACACAACTGGAAAATCCATAAAGAAACAGTCTATAGAAATCACTTCCGTGGAAACATGAAGTGAACACATTACCTGAAGTTATGACACGTACGTGAAAAGATAGGAAAATATTCGGAGAGTACAGCGATATGAAACTTTCAGTCACAAACTCACCTCAATGATTTATGAAGGAGGTGTTCTATGGAGGCGTGATGTAGGGTCATGTTTTGACTGTAGGACCCCACACGTGGCTTTCCGATGAAACCGCTACCAGCAACTTCATTAACCCGCTATAGCGCTTCCGCTGTCTCACTATACCCTTACCGTGGCTCAAGCTCCAATATGCACTGGACTGACCTATCCACATAGGTCAAAGGCAAACTGACACAAATTGACACATGCATATGCAATTCTTGGTTTATTTCATGGTGCTTCACTATTGACATTGTGTATTGTGAATTCTCGCCAATTACTGTAACGCAGATATGACATCACATCATCAAGCTACATCACTCGCGCGCGAGAAAATCACCTTGTCGCCTTGTTGAGAATACCACGTTCCAAGATAGCCACATCAAACAGAATGCCATTCGAATAACTCGAGTTGGTCACAAATGACAAAATGCGCGCCCATGATTTCTATAGTCCGTTTCTCCACGATGCATGCGCATGTTTCTATAGCTAGGATTAAATAGAACTGCCAAGCTGCTTCAGCTTCCACATGCATCCGAGAACACAAATATGATGTTGATTAGTAATACAAGTTGCAATGTTTTCCATGCAGAACCATTGAAGATACGAGCTTCACCGAAAATATATTTCTATAGTCCGTTTCTGCTTGCGTTGTCCACCAGACTCGACCTGGGAAACAATGCAGTGCCAGTTGCCGCGCTGAAGCCTATCGCCGTCTCGTTATACGGTTACCGTGACTCACGCACCAGTGGGCCCAATTTACACATCCCCATTGATATTAGGGAAGCAGATACATTATATCTTCTAGGTGTGTATTGGCCAATGGGGTCAGTCAGTGCACAACCTTGCATTACTGGCGAGAATACAACTTTCTGACTTTCACAACATCACACCACAGACATCACCGGGTCGGGACTAATTCAAGAAAAAAATATGCCTATTGGAGAAAGCCGTTCTTAGTCAGTGTTATGAGTAGATTGAAATGCTATAAACAGGGCTTATTCCGAAATCTTACTGCAGCTTCTTTCACTGCTTCTAAAATAGATTTCTATAGTCCGTTTCTTCTTGCGTTCTTCACCAGCAGTATGTACACTGTATCTCACTAACACTGACAACTGATCCCGGTACTCAACAGCGGATAAACACAATCGCGGTTCACTGCAAATTATACACAAAGCCTACATAGTTGTTTATGAAATCCACAAACCTATACTACAGGTTTACTGACAATACTATAGCGTATAGCGTCAAGAGAAAGCAAGCTTCTTTCAGTGTCTTTACTGAACAAGTTTGAAGTGTCATAAAATATCATTGTTTCCCCCACAAAATGATATTTGCAGAGTCAGATCACAGTTTGGTGTATGTTGGACTTGGGATTTTGTGAATGCATTTCAATATCGAACTGCATATTTCAATACTAAAGAGTGCATAGTCAGACAGTTATTCGATGATCTGGTGAGGTACAATAGGTTGAAATATGTTGTTATAGATGAATACTGTTTCATTTTTCTCTTCGTAGCCTTCAATGCGATGGACAAGCCCAGTCTACATACACACACGAAATTTGGGCGAAATGGGCCCAGTATTGGCCGAGATATTAATGTTTAGAGTTCTGCCATATGACAAGTTCCCTTTTTAACACGCTCTAGGTTTGTTGTCCATTGAGCTACAGTCAAACGGTTTGGTGGTCTGGATTTGCCAGGACATAAGGTATCAGGAAAACACTTTTGACATAAGTATGTTTTCTCGGAAGTTGGTAGTATGGTACTTGGACACAAAGTATGGAAAGTTTGGAAGTTTTTGAGCTGGTAGTTTGAGCTGAGCAGATTTTGAGAGACAAGTACTGAGAAAAATGGTAAAAAAAGGTGCCAAAACCTTTAAATCCAATATGGCTGCCAAACGGTGTGTTGTAGCTACCATGGTCCTGCAGTACAAAATGATGGGCATCTGATTGCGCTGCCACATGGCAAATCATGAAGTCATTGGGCAATTAGTTTCGAAGATTATTGCTGCTGAAGTTGAAACTTTGATGAGTTATCTACCCTTAGCCATTGGGCCTATGGCCTTGGGTTTTTGCTGGTATCTGCGTCACGTTTGTGCCGATGTTGCTGTCATTTTTGGAGCCATTCTGGCCACTAGTTGTATTTGTAGGTCTGGTACAAAAAACGGCGGAATAATAATAAACATAACGATTACAATAGGGCTCTACAGCCTTCAGGCTGGAGCCCTAATAATAGGCATTTTAGCCGTTTTGACCCCTGGAACGGGTAGCGAGACCAAAAACCTTTCCCAAGGTCAAGGTCACCAAGGTCACGGTGTCAAGGTCATTTAAGTAGTTAAGCAAAAATACCTATTTTTGGAGAGCTCTGACACGGTTGTATTGGCCTCTATGGTGGAGGTTTATGCTTTGCCCATCTCATACCATCCACCCGCAGTTACCACCCCTGTCCAAGCCAAGCCATTCAACCGCATACCGCTAAATAAAGAACAGTGACTTTCTGTCATCTACAGGGAGAATGTCATGTGAAACCATGAATGAGACTGTCCCTTCCATCCACAGACAAGTTGTTTTGGAAACTCGCCGCCATATGGCTATCTGACTGACGGGAGAGACATTCAAATTTGGATTGCAAATTTTAGAATTGTATCTAAATGCAGACTTATTCCACTATCTGTACCATTCTTTTAGACAGTATGCATTCCTATGACCCTTGTGCAGGGACCAGAAAATTATTATCATGAAATATTAGGTACCTATTAGGTTTGTAATAGTTCCACAAATTGTATTTGAACATGTTGAATGTTGTTCTGCTCTTCGTCCAAAGACAGTTGGTGCCATACTGGGACGACACCTCTCCTCCCTCTTTTATACCCGCATGCTGGCCTTAAGTGATTTTGATTGGACTATGCATAGACTGGTTAGTCCAGTCAAATTGTCACCAATTTCAAATGGTTGATAATACATACAGGGGTTACTGTGTATCTAAGTTCAAAAAGTTTTGCATGGTACATTTATTGGTGCATTCAGGAAAGTTCAGTGATGTGATCTGTTTTCTCCATGCCTTTGGTTTCTCCATGCCTCTTCAACCCATCTCATGTATCATATTTTACCAGTCCCTTCATTAATCTGCTGTAGATGGAGCGCCAAATACAGATGCAGAACCAAATGCGAGAGCGGATGATGGCCATGCAGATCGCAAGAACACGGGACATTTTTGTGTGGTTTGGTTCCTTCTACACACTGGCCTCTCTCGGAATGATTGCAGGGTTTGTATAAAAAAGACGCACTAATTGTTTATTCGGTGGTCTCATTAGTAGATAAACTTTGTGTGTTTCCTTTTTTAGAGTTTTCAAACTTTGATTTGTCACCTGTAAATTTCATTTGAAACTGTTTGTTTTTACGTATTTATTGCCATTTTACAAAAGTTTTGTCCAACTATAATCATGGAAGCTGGCTTTTAGAATGCTTTTACACCTATAACAAAAACAGTTTAACCTTAGTGTCAGGTATCATAACAGTTTGAAACCTTTAAATTGGAAACACACAGGTTTATCTCTATTCTACCTTGACACAGTGCCAAAACAAATACAAACTCTTTGATTTTAGTGGCAATGGTAAGTGATTGGCATCGAACTTGCAGACCTTTGTAAAGTTTTGTTGTATAAGGGACTGGTAGTGTATTAAGGGAGGCGAGAATGGTTTTAAGATTGTATCATATTTTGCTGACACAACAACCCAAATAGATGTAACATTTTTTCATGACAATACAAGTCCTAACTAAAATGTCATGATCCCATGACTATACGACGCTTGTTTTTGAGAAGCTTCACCTGCCACCTGTGCTCTCCCCCCTCCATGTCCTTCATGAAGCTAGATGCCTCCACAGTCAAGGCGAAATGCAAGGAGGCTGCTAAGAAGAAGGTGGACTCGATCTTATCTGCCATCAAGGAGACTATCTCTATTCCATTCAGATCCAGCCTTGGGGTTCCATATCAGCACTCTTGAGAATTCATTCGCCGTAGAGCAGGCCCCCATGGAAGAGTTGATAAACACACGTCTAGCAGCCATCAGAAGTCGATAAACTGAAGAAGTTGCAGGCTCAGAAGTCTTCCCTGGCCAAGAGGCCACACAGGGTTAAGCAGTCAACACCCAGATCACGACTTCCTGACGATCACAAGGGTAGTGGCAAGCACACCTTACCCACTCGACCTGCCGAGCCGCCAAAGATACCCGGATCCTGTTAGACCAAAATTGGACGATGACACACTTGTATATGAGCCCATGGAACCATGGCACCGGAGTCGGACAGAGAGGCCCCTGATTAAATGGCCACATCACCTCCGTGGGAATATGGACCAGTGTTATCCTACGTGTGTATGATGGATGCCATATATCATGCCGACTACACAGCCACGGACGGAACAGTCACCTCCTCCGGAAATGCCCGAATATGGTGGATGCCATACTCCGTCCTCGACATCTCTACCGTTGCCAAGCTATACCAGCAGGATCCTTGACCAAATGAATGAAGCTGTGTCACGATGACCGGCTTCCCCTCCTGACTATGAGGAAGAAATTGTATCAGACTCATGCATCACTGTTCGCGGTGACACAGGCACTGGATGACAAGTTTAGGAAACTGAACACGATGCCACCTCTATCAACGTCCTTTGATGATGTCCCGGCAGAAACACCAATGTCCATCCAAACGGACCATTTGGACTCATCTACAGTCTGCTGGATGCGATCGTCCGCATGCAGGAGGACATGTTATCTACACAGGTCTGGAGTGCCTCCCAGCTCCTATGGCTTCAACGTCAACAACTCCTGATGATGATGATTTGTTTCTCCCCCCTCCAAGCATCGCAGATCCTATCGGCCGGGCTTTGTCTACGTATTACGATACAAGCTACATTTTCTCAAGTGCCCTCAGCTTGTATCCCGCCCCCTGGGACGCAGGTTTCACCTGAAGGGTGCCAAATTGGACGCAGCCGACCTTGCCATCAAGACCCTTCTCACCAAACGGGCCATTTGGAGATTGCGGGATACCAACAAACTCTCAACATGAAGTACTTGGTCCCGCCTCAAAGATTTCAGATGGAATCAGTCAGGAAACTACGTCTATTCATCTCGTGCAAGACAAACTCGGATGAAGACATCACTAAAGCACCTGGATGGCTAAAGACTACCATAGCAACAAGTTATCAGCAGCAAAGGATACTCCTCCTACTATGGGTTCTAGCTCTGCCCACAAAATCCGAGCTTTGGCAACAAGTCTGGCATCCTGGTCATCTGTGTCCATCGAACAAGTCGTAGCAGGAAGCCAATGAGGGTCAGACAATACCTTCACTAGTTTTTATTTACAAGACATCCAGCCAGACTTGACGGGGATTCATTCCTTGGACCTATTGTTGCGGCCCAAGCGATTATACGTCCTTAGTTTTTCCTCCTTTCTATGAGGGACAAAAAGGGGGAGGGGACGAGGATCTGACATCGGCAGCTACAAAAGGTGAGTAATTTATTTACTGGTAAGGTACATAAGAAATTCAAGGGCTATCTGTATTAGAACAGCTGATAAACAGATCTACCGGAAGTGACGTCACAATCGGAAGGAATATAGACCGTAAGTGATGTCATAAATGATGTCAAAGGTTCTAGAAATGACATAAGAACCACTAAAAAACAGGAAGTGACATCATTTAGATCACTCTCAAAATCTGAGATAAATGATGAGTTAGAATAGAACTAAAGATTATCAGCAAATAATAAAGTACTTCAGGTGAAGGTATCTCATATTGACTGATATAATCATAATACCCGATTTCAAGTCCTCTAAGATTCTAGAGTAATTACCTCTCGAGAGGGTTTTGATCTGGTAATATACAAGAACTCATACAACAGTATTGGATTGCTGTCAACTATACAGGGAGTTACTAGAGGCAGATCCCTCCTTATCCATCTGGTGGGTCCTGGCTATGATGTAATAGAGGTAGAGGATTCGCAGGAATTATCAAACAATAGTTGTCATTGTTAATAATTCTAAGAATACTACCTCTATTACATCAGGAAGTACTCCCACCCACCTCGCAAATTCATATGCCTCCAGTGGTTAGATGTTTTGGAAAGAAGTTTACATTTTTCACGCCTTTTTGCACAGAAGAGCTGAAGAGCTACATGTGCTATTAGGGGAACAACTAGTTGTGTGCAGATGACTTCTGTTGAAAATTTGAAGGTTTAGTTATAGTGTGGCTGCAGCCAAAATACAGGATTTATGGCTATGATGTAATTAATGTAAATGCAAACATTACCAAGTATTTCAAATCATTTGACTATATTTACATGTATGCCTAGTTTGGGAATGTTTGTCACCTATCCGTCAATTATTCCGGCATGTATGTTGTGTCATATATGCCAGGAGGTAGTGACACTAAACCAAATTAATGTCATTTTCATGTGTGCTCATACTTTTTGCAATAATTTGGACAGTTTACTGTTTCCAACCATATCTCAAATGTTCTGGTTAGAAATAGAATATTCCCCTTAAATTTCCAGGTACAGCAATCATTAGGAAATTTTACAATTTCAAATGTTTTGCGAATGTTTATCATATTAAAATACAACTTGGACCTATATGTTTGGAACACACAGAAAAAAACCAAGGTGAGGCAAAGAGTTGTGCGTCATTTTGTATCCTTTCATGACCATATACAGGCATCAATGCTCAAGGAAACCTCATGAAATACAGTCAAGTCCCGTTAATTCGACATTGTTGGTTTCATATGATTATGTCCGATTAACGAGTATGTCTGATAAACGAAATTAGGTGGTATCAACGTTCGTGATGGAAAATTGGACAACTAAATGATAGATAATGATACGAACACGTAATAAACCAAGGAAAGAAGAAATATTCATATTGTAGTGTAATATGGTTAGCGGAATATGTGCAGCTGCATTTTTAGTGGCTAATGTCGACTTCCTGTTAGTAATGTCATTGGTCAGTCAAAGTTCACAAAGGTTGTCCTCAGCGGTAGCGAGAACTTGTATCCAATTTTAATAAGATTGAGGCAATCTAGGCATGTGATTAATGCTGTTTTGTTTATTTAAAGCAGTAATTGTTTATTGTTAAGCAAGTTGCCAACTCGCCGACTCGTCTTGCATCAAAACACGGGACTGTGTACTCGCGGGCAGATGACCACGGAGTACGCTGATCACTGTGTCGGATTAACGGGACTGATTACTGAGTGATTTCTGCAATTCGTTGCAAATTAGGTGTGTCGGAGTCAGAGTGCGAGACTTTCGGATAAACGGGTCTAAACATCACTGATTAAATCGGTTCCCAATATTTTTGTCAGATAAACTGGTGTCAGATTAACGAGAATTGACTGTACATTGGAAATATACTGAACCGCAAAAGAAACATCACCTCAAGTAACATTGCATGAAAAGTTGTCATTTAAATATCTGGGTAATTTTTGTCAAAGTTTCTAAAATTTAACATTACCTTGTCCGGGAAAATGTAATTTGATGATAAAAAAACATAGCAGATGACAATAAAACCGATCGCCCAAACGCATTATGGCAACGGCCATGGTAACCCGATGCATGTGAGTTCCGTGCAAATTGAAGTGCACATGCATTCCCGCATTTCTTGCCCTATAAAAATCCACCCAGATGGGATAACATTCATTTGTTATTGAATTGCTACTGCATGCCAAGATAGACAAGAAATCAGTGACACCAAGCTCTTGGACAATTGCAAGCTGGACAAACTGCCTGTCAAGTACAGGCTCCAGCAATGGTACCAGACCACCAACACTACAGATGACCGACCACGTAGTGGAAAACCAAGGGTTATCACCTGACATCAGGATCGTCAGATTGTGAGAGAGCATCTTCAAGATCGCTTTGTTACTGCTGCAGAAACTGCTCGACAGACCATGGGGACACACCAGCGACACATTAGTGCGGCACCAGCAGTGGAGAAGAGTCCTCTTCTCAGATGAGAGCCGTTACTGTATCTGAACAGCAGATGGCAGAGAGAGTCTGGCAAGGCCGTGGGAAACATTATTCGGATGCTTGTGTTGTTGAGATTCATGGGGTGGTCTGAGCATCATGGTGTGGGGTGGAATTGGTCTTGCACAGAGGGTTGGCCCTGTTGTCTTCCAGAACATCGGTCCAAGGAGAGGCAATGGTATCGCAGCTGCTCAGTACGTTGATCAAGTCTTGAGACCACATGCCATACCTCATTTGGAACGTTGCTGCA